GATTGTAAAATCATTGATGAAAATGGGACCTAAGGGTTGAAATGTTAATTATGGGAATTGACCTAATTACATTGTTAACTAATTGGGATAATTAATTGAGAAGAATGAGGAAATGAAATGTTGATTGAATATCCATTGTGCATTTATTTTCTGTTTAGAAATAACTGCTTTGGGCTATCGGTGGAGGATAGTCGTGATTGTTGTAGACAATGCATGATGATTAGGCAAACTGAAACTAATCATGAAATGTGTCATGGAATTTGACGGTTGATAGAATACATTAACTATATGTATTGAGTGATTGTATATAGAACCATTGTGTTTGTATACGTTATGTATAGAGGAGGAGATAGGGATGTACTCCGCGTTTAGGGGGAAGATAGGGGATGTACCTCTAAACCGGATAGTGATGGGAGAAGATAGGGGATGAACTCGCGTAGACACAGCTTATATGCTTGTCTAGAGAAGTGAGGATAGAGCTCATATGCTTATCTTTGTGAAGTGTGGATACAGCGCTTATCTGAGAATGTGAATATTGTTGTTATACATATCTGTTGAGCATGTGGGTAGTGCTTATATGCCTATCTGTTGAAAAAGGGGAAATAAAAAGAAAATGGGACTTGTAAGTCGTTTGACATAAATATATGATTTATGTGAATGTATCTCTGTTAGCCATCTATCAATTGCTAATCTTTTAGTCATTGTTCATGGTTGGTTTAGTATATTTCTACTGGGCTGTGGCTCACCCTATATGGGAATATCATTTTCAGGTGCAGGAAGCATGCCACCTCCAAGGACATAGCTGGAGGCTAGAGGCGGACATACTTTTGTCGCCTAACTTTTGATGTATTACATGTAACTTCAAGCCAAGGGCTTAATGTGTAAACGAGTTAGTACTCTTTTGTTGTAACCAAGTTTTAACTTGGAAAGCTGTAAGCCCGTAGGGCATTTTGTTTTGATGTTAACATGTAATACTTATGTAATGGAATTCTAATGAATAAAAGAATGTAGTTAGTTTATATGTAAATGCATGTCTTATCTAATGGGTTTAATGTTGTTATTTTGAGGGCGTTACAGGAAGCAAGTCCGCTCGAGCGAACTTTTTACTGCTCAAGTGGTCTATGCTGGATTTTGAGATTTTGGGAGCTTAATTTCACCGCTCAAGCCAAGCTTGGAATGCTCGAGCGGTCTGTTCGATATCAGGCACTTTAAAGTCACTTTTTGGCCCAAATTTTTCATTCTTTCTTCCGCTCTTCTCTCCCTGTTCTCCATACCTGAAACCCTATACCTCCAAACCTTGATTTCATCTATTTTTTTCACTATGAATCCACCATAGATCTTGTAATAACCCAACTTTTTTTTTTTATATAGTCAGTGCATAAATTAATTGAGCAAATTTTCGAATTTGATTGCTGTGTAAATTCTATGCGAAAACAGTTCAGTTTTTTATTTTTTAAAAATAGTTCCCGATCTCAGAAAATTATGAAATTTTTATATGTTGTTTCCATATCAGTCTAACACGTTGGATAAAAATTTAAGAATTTAATAATGAGCATTTATTTTATGAAAATTCACAGACTGATTGGTGTTCAGTTTAATTTATAGCAGAATTTGAAATTGAGTTTTGGGTGTTCGGACCATGATTTGAGATAAATTTGTTGGGCCTATTTTGGTATATAATTGGACCATGTTTGACTTATGGGTGAGACCTATGATTTCGATTCAATTTAATTTGAATTTGTTTGTGACTCATGTTTAACTGTTTGATTCTTTTTAATTATATGATTGGTAGTAACCACATTGGGAGTAGTTATTATTTATTATATAAGGTTATAATAAATATTTAAAAGTTGAATTTATGGTGTGTACCATACGGTGAAAAATTATATATTTTATAAAGAATGAAATATGTATGTATTGTGTAATGAGCAAAATATTATATTTTGTGGTGTACAAAAATGATATATTTTGTGGTGAGAAAAATTATATTATTTTATAATTTATATTATAAAATTCTGAAATATTATTACAAAAATTAAATTATTTTTTTTGAAAAACCCATCATTGGGAGAGCCAAACCCACATGGGGTTGTCCCCCATGCCTCTCTCATTTTCCCCTCCTTTTTGCTTTCATTTGGCTGAGCATCACTCTCTATCTCTCTCTCTCTCTCTCTCTCTCTCTCTCTCTCTCTGTTTTGTTCTCCATTGTTGCTCAATCTTTGAGTTTCAAATGTGAGTCTTTCGAGTGAGATTTTACAAAAGTGTTGTAAATAAAAGTTGTAGAGCTCGTCATGATTTTCGCAATGGTGTTCTCGGATTCATGATCGGGTGATGTTTGTATTTTCGGATTGCTTTTCTTCATATTTGAGGTACGGACTTTCTTCATATTATTACATTAAAAATATGTTAGGGTTATTTTGAGAAAATATATATTCATAGGAGGCATTACATATATATATATTTTTCAGATTTTTGTTTGATAATTTTTGAAAGAGAAATTAGGTTGAAATGTTAAGAATATTGTTATTTTGAAATTGATTTGGGAAAATGATCTTGTGTTGGAAATACTTGTTAAAAATCCGAAAATAAAATAAAATAAATAGTTGTATGAGTTGTATCTATCTCGTATTATGGTTAGATAATTTATTTTGGGAAAATAAAGTTGAAATATTTATCTCATCTTTGAGTTTTGGAATTTATTTTTTAGAAGAAAAATAAATTGATATTGATGAATATGGTGTGAATTGTTAAGTTGAGATTATAGAATGATTTTGGGATTTAAGAGTCTAAAAGTGTGATATTCATGATGTTTTGTAAATGTTAATTTATTAATTTTAGAAAAGTTGTGAAATTGTGGTTTGTAAAGATTTGGGAAAATTGGCTAGGCATGAAATGTAGAGGTATTTTGAGTGATGAATCATGTGAATTTATGTTTGGTGTTATTAATTTGGAAGATGGTGAACTTAATGGATTTACTAATTTGATGAATCAAATTAGTTTGGTTAATAATTAAAATCCTTCGTAATTAAAGGGGTGTTATTGGGTTTAAATTCCAAACTTTTAATATTATGAGATTAAAAGTGATGATGTTGACCAAGATTGAGATTTGGAAAAATAAGCGAGATTAAGTTGATGTGATATGGTATTTGGTCCATAGTTTTGCTAGTTGAGTTATGTTATCATAATAATACTTAAAATTCATATATGAGATATTCGAATTGTTTTGGCGGATTTTGACAATAAAAGAAAACAACATGATTTTAGCTCGTTTGGAGCAAATGGATAAATTGGATTAAAACAAGAATGAGTTATCAAAACTTTTACTTATTTATTTATTTTTCCTTGGTTTAATTTGATGCGGTTGATGTTGATAATCGGATAGTGAACATTCACGTTATGTTTTATATTTATAGTTAAGAGAAGATTTTGATATAATTGATTAAATGTTAGAATATTCACTTATGCTTATTGAGAATTATGATTGCACTTGAAGATCTCGAGATTTTACTTGCATGAGAAAAATGAGAATTTGATTCTATTTAATGTTTGGAATGGGGATTAGTTTTGAAAAAATTGTAATTACATTTCATTGATAAGTATGTGAGTTACATATCGATAAAAACTTGAACCCACTTTGGTGTCATATGTTATTGCTATTGATGAACCTATTGCTTAGAAGTTTTAGTTTTGATAACTGGTAGGGGATTACCATGTTGGTATTTAAATGAGGAGATTTTTGGAAAGGTAAGAAAATGTTTGACTTTGGAAGTTTGTTTTATATAAGGAATATTGTTGAATTGTCTTGAAAAGACTAAGTTAGAAGTTATTGACTTACATGTGGTAAATACATGAACATTGGCATTGTTATATTATCTCTTGGGATTGTATCATGATATTACATTGATAGGGATATGGAAATTGATCACAATGGAGAATTATGTAGAGGAAGTTGGAAATGGAATCATATGAAGGATTGTACATTTTCCATTATCATTTTATCGAACCACTATTGAAATTGATTTTTAATCTTGCATTGGAAGGTTATGGTTTTAAAAGAGAAATTGTTTTATGAAACAAGATCTATTGTTTTGTTTTTGGTAAATACGGTGGTAAGTCTTAAAAGGTGGTGTAGATGAATTTGATTAAGTTGGCCTATGTGTCCTTGGTGAAAGACCAGAAAACCGCGCAGATAGGTGTCGAGCCTTCCAGTTAATACTGGTAAAAATGATAGATTACAGGTGTCGAGCCTTCCAGTTAATACTGATAAAAATGAAAGATTACGGGTGTCGAGCCTTCCAGTTAATACTGGTAAAAATGACAAATTGGTAGTACTTGTATAGTCTACTTGCAGACTCCAGCTTAGGGATTACCTGAGTCATATTTACCATCTTGGAATTTTATTGAAATTATTGGATTAATGTGTTTTCAAATTAGTATTGTGCGTAAGATTTTCAAAAGATGAGAAAAATATTTTGAGCATGACAAGGCATATGCATTCATCTCATAAGACTGTATAAAATGAATTTTGATGAATTGTTTAATTATTTGATTCAATTGATAATGAGATAATTGAATGAATTGAAAATGATGTCCCATTGCTATTGAAACATGTTTATTTATTTAAGTTAACTTGTTGTGGTTAATTAAATAAATTGGATTTAAGATATTATGAAATAAAATTATACGGTTTTGACATGATATGATTTCACGTATATGTATGAGTATTTTGGTACCCGCATATGTTCTAATGTTTTAATATGAGATTGTTTGGTGAGCTAGTGGTTGCTCACCCCTTGCTTGTACATGTATACAGGGAATGCTTTTCGGATTTGAAGATAAAATAATAGATTTTACCATTTCATAAGTGTAGTGTAGTGATGGATTGTACTAATACTCTTTATTTGGGTTGTGTCACGCCCCAAATCCGCCCCTAAAAGTTTGGGCATGACCACTTCAGAAACGGACATTTAACTTGATATATATATATATATGAGATATGGGGCCTGAACGGAAGCATTAATATTTTAAAATAACAGAAAACCATCTCCATTGAGCTATAACTACCATGCTAGGATCACTAATGGAACATAAGGCAAATAAACATACAGTGACGTGCATCTGAGAATTTAGCTATATGCTTATACACATACATATACAGACCCAGCCCTCAAGATTGGGTGTATAACAAAAGCATTGAAAGGTAAAAGGATTATACACACTTCCTCTTTAGACAGACAATCAGGGTACAAAATCAAAAGTTTAGCAAAACTCCGTAAAATGAGTTGCCTTCATCTAAGTGCCTGGACACCCTGAGGTTGACATAAGAGGAACGGATGCCTTGGGTTGAGGCTGACCTCCAGGTGGAGTGCCTACAGAAATAAACATAACATAAAGTGAGCCAAACTCAGTGAATAGTAGTACGTAACAATTTAACAATTAACTTGAATTACAATGTACATGTATAAGGGCGGAGGACATATAGTTAGCTTTATCCTGTAATTATTTTCAGAATGGCCTTAGGCCTATGGTTTTCAGCCCTTAAACAGAACGGCATTAATCCCTTAAATAGACGACATTAAGCCCTTTTCATGCATGTATGAACCCAAGAGGTGGCTCGCACGGATTCTAGAGGTGACTCACATGGCAGCACTTAGTTCCGTGCAGCACTTTGTTTCATACAAACAGATCATACAGAATGGCCATAGGCCCAGATGTCACAAATTGGCCATAGGCCTCACAGATGTTACAGAACGGCTATAAGCCTCATAACTTTCACAGAACGGCCATAGGCCTCATAACTTTCACATCGGCTTTAAGCCCAGTTCACATATGTATGGACTCAAGAGGTGGCTCGTACGGATTCTAGAGGTGGCTCGCATTGCAGCACTTAGTTCCGTACAACACTTTGTTCCATACCAGAAATCATTAGGTCTTAAAGACTGAACCATCCATATCATGTCAGAGCATAGCATAACTGGCATAGATAAACAGAACAAATTCATATACTTGAACCACGGTATTATTACCCCCGGGCAAGGGCCATAAGACCACGGTATTCTTACCCCTGGGTAAGGGCCTTGTGCTAAGGATGCCATGAATACTTATATATATATATATATATATATATGGACAATCATTCATTAATTCAAAATGTAACATATCAGAAAATAGAACATTTCTTGCCATATCATGTCATTACAGTACGCTTAACAAAGACAAAACAATTTACATTCTAACGTGGGTTACATAATGATGTTAAACCTTTGCATTCATGTCGTAGATTCTAAACGACCTCGGGTCCATATGTAACACAACAAAATAATCTTGGATTCATACAGATATCATTGTTCAAGGATGAACATAAGTTCCATTTATTCTTTAAGAAGTAACGTAGTATGCTGATAAATAATAGAGGGTTAATATTTGTTATTGACAGAACAAAAGGATTCCAAAGTCATACCGATGTGCGCAAATCTTTCAATGTTCATATAAGTTCACACTGATTTCCAATCGTCATAAATGTTTGTGAACCACTTACGAAGAATAGAGTGTTAGTGACAATAATTATCAATAGTAAATAAAATATACATTTTTGTACTGCTACTCACAGTGATCGGCTCCCGGTAGCAATGGGACGGTGTCCTCGTTTCGATCTACAGCACAGTGCACAACACATAATATGAGATTATACTCGATCCTTTACTTATTCTCTTTAATCATTCGATCAATTAGCCATGGTGGTACCAAGCTCATTATTCCTTAATAAGTTATAATCCATGTCTCAGAAAACAGGAGAAGTTGATGGGAAATGGTTTAGGTGAAGAAATGGTACAAAACTCGTTGACAAAAAATGAACAGTTGTCACTAATTTGGACATAACTATTTCTTTATTTAGAATTTGGGAGTGAGATCACCGCCATTGGAAACTAGACTTCTAGGGCTTGATTTTAGGCTCAAGAATCCCTCAAAACAGAGTCCCGAGGAAAACGATATGCTTATTCAAAGTTGGCTGGACAAAGCTGTCCCCCGCACGTGCGGGAAACAGAGCCGCATGTGCGGCTCTGGGCAGTTTGCTGTCCGAAAATGGCTCTTTTTTCTCCAACAGTTGGTTTTTCCATTTTTAAACTTGGTTCTTAACATAAATCACTCAAAAACATGTAAAATTATCTCATAACATGATAAACTAACATCAATCAAGTGCAATTCCATTTTAAACAAATCAATCTTTGCCTCAAAAATAGAAATTCAAGTCTCATCTTTTATATAATCAAGCTTCTATAATATATACCCCAAAATCATACAAATACATCTTACACATGGTTGATCTTCACACCACAACTTGGTATTCCATGAATCATTCTTAAGATTGAACCCAATTCAAGCAAATTTAAAGAAATCAAGATTCAATTCCTTGAGTTTAACTCATTTCATTCATAACCCAACACACTTGTTCATTTGCATATTAATTTTCCCCAAATCTGTCATTGATTTCATGTAGTAGATGCGTTATTTACAAAGATAATAGTTGAAGCCACATACCTTAACTTAATTCCTTGTTTTTCCCCTTTAATCTCTTCAATTTTCCAAGCTTCCATGGATGATCATCTTTCCCTCTCTATCTCTCTTTCACGGTTCTCTCTCTCCCTCTCCCTTAGATATTTTATTTGACTTCAAAATGATAAAAAACCCAACTCACATGACCTATCCATATATGTATATATCACATACTTAAGCTTAACACAAGGGAGAGCCAAACGTGGCCTTACGAATCGCGCAAAATTAAATTTCAATTAAACTTTCCAGATGACTCTAAAAATTATGATGATCATAAATATGCCCCCTGTTGTGGTTTCTGAAGCCTCTAAGGCCTTCAATTTGCAGTACCAAGTTAACCACCCAAACGTACATTAACGAATCAGACAAATTAGATTTCCAATTAAGTTTTCCAAAGAGTTCTAAAAATTTCAATTAACACATCTAAGTCCTCAATTGTGATTTCTGAACCCGTAAAGGTCGGTAATTTCAATTTTAAAGTCGTGGCTCAACAATTAATTCCTCTATTTAAACACATATCATTAAATTAAAATGCATTAATCCATAAAGCCATAAAGGTAATATTTAATACGGATTTTGGGGTCGTTACACTAAAAGTGAGTAAAGACAAAATTTAATTAGTTTAATCATCCATAATCAAATTTCTACAAAAATGCTTATTATTACTTAAAAATTATGCTGATCTCAGATGTAAAATCAATCTTAGGTAATTAAGCCTCTAAGGCTTCCAATTTCTGATTCAATCATTATAATTGTGACAGATGCTTTCCTTACCAAACAGATAGAGGTTTCAATTTATAAGAGCCATGTGCTTAAACTAGATTTCTCGAGAGATTTCACATTAAACATTTAAATGCACATAACAAAGGACTAAATTATGCCAGAAACACATACAAGGGTCGGGTTATTACAGGTTGCGTGCTATTTTTTTTGTAAATAGTAGTGACCTCTCTTTTATTGTAAGCCTCAAGGCATTTCTTTTATTTGTATGTAAATGTCATTGTTATATAACGAGAGGGAATATATATATATATATATATATATAATTATTCATCATTTCATCCAAAGATAAAATGTTATTGGTAAATGGACTTAATTAATGAATATTTGCAATGTTATCCGAGTAATAAAATACAGAGCGTGACAGATCTTGCATTAAAGATGAATGAGTGAAGATCAACATTTTGACCGATTGGATTTTGGATTTTTCGAAAGAATCTTCTTGATCTAGCTTCTCTACTTTTATTTTTGAGATAGGATTACTTTTAATCTTGTATCTCTTTATTTTGAGGATGTTTATGTGATGCTATTATAATGTTGATGCTATAATTTAATGTTTGAATTTACAAAATGGTTTTGCTTCAAAAACGAAATTTTCTCTACACTTTCTTAATATTTTTATTAATGGTTATGGATTATGAAGATTTTAGTTAGGAAATAACATTTAACATGATTTGGGGGTAATGAAAACCCTAGTTGTAAAATTTGGGAAAAAGATGAAATTTATTTTTAATTCTTTAAAATTGATGAATGGATTATGATATTTTGAATACGTATTGATTGAGACTTGTGAAATTGAAACCTGTTGAGATTCAATTTAATTGGACCATGTTTTACTTATGGGTGAGACCCATGATTTAGATTTAATTTAATTTGAATTTGTTTCCGATTCATGTTTAATTATTTGGTCCCTTTTTAATTATGTGATTGGTAAGTTATTATTATTTATTATATGGGATTATAATAAATATTTGAAAGTTAAATTTATGGTGTGTACCATATGGTAAAAAATTATATATTTTTATAGTGAATGAAATGAGTGCATATTTCATAGTGAGCAAAATATTATATTTTGTGGTGTACAAAAATGTTATATTTTGTGGTGAGAAAAATTATATCATTTTATAATTTATATTATAAAATTTGAAGGTATTATTACAAAAATTTATATTTTTGGGAGACCAATTTATTTTTGGAAAGGCAACCCACGTGGGCTGCCCCCCTCTCCCTCTTTCCTTGTCCTTTCCTTCTTTTCCTTTTCTTTTCTTTTCATTTTTTTTAGGTTGGCAGAGGCTCCACTGTATGCCTCTCTCTCTCTCTCTCTCTCTCTCTCCTCTAGTGTGTCTCTCTCTCCCTCCCTCTTTCTTTATTTTCCATGGCTGCTCAAGCTTTGAGCTTAGAGTAGGAGTCTTTAGAGTGAGATTTTGCAAAAGTGTAGTAAATGAAAGTCGGAGAGCTCATTGTGATCTTCGCAATGGTAGTCTCGGATTTATGATCGGGTAAGATTTTCCTTCCAGATCTGCTCTTCTTTATTATTTGAGGTAGGGACTTTCTTTATATTTTTACATTAAAGCTATGTTAGGGTTATTTTGAGAAAATATATCATTATAAGAGGTATTGCATATATATATATATATATATATTCAGATTTTTGTTTGGTAATTTTTGGAAGAAAAATTATGTTGAAATGTTAAGAATGTTGGCATTTTGACATTGATTTGGAAAAATCATTTTGTGTTGATAATTTTGCAAAGAAATCCTAAAATAAAATTTAATAGTTGTATGGATTGTCTATAGCGATCTCGGTTTTCCCTTCATTATTTAATTGTATTTCGGGCTCGGGTCCGTGGTTGTTGGTTGTTGTCTTATTCTCGTTTCAATCCTTTACTCTTTGTATTTGAGTCTTGGGGTGTGTTGGGCAGGTTTGAAATAGGTTGGTTGTGTTTGGAAACCAAGAGTTGATTCCCAGATTTTGGCCTTCACGCTCGAGCAGGGTTTTTGACACTCGGGCGGGCCCTTTGCTTTTGTTCCTCCACTCGAGCGGGGAGTTTGACGCTCGAGCGGGATTATTCAACCCTCAGTACTTTTCTCTGCAGGTCATCAGACGCTCGAGCGTCCACTTTCACGCTCGAGCGGGGACCTTCGTCTGCAGAACTTCTAGAAGTGTGCATTCGACGCTCGAGCGTTGCTTTTCACGCTCGAGCGGGGGTTTGTGTCTGACGCTCAAGCGGGGTGTTCCACGCTCGAGTGGACTGTGTATTATATCAGTTCGAATTTTAGCATTTTGAATCACTTTTTCAATCCATTCTCTCTCTCTAGCTTTTCAAAACCCTAATTTGAGAGCTCCTCTCTCTAGAACTTTCTCTCTCTCTACATTTTGATCTTGGTTTAGTGAGATCCAACCCTTGTGCCTTCATTACAGTGGTAGAACTTTGCAAGACCTCCATTTTGATGTGAAAATCTTGGGGTTTGGAGCACTTCCGAGTTTGTTCATCGTCTCCTTTGGGTTCTGAAATTTGAGGTAGGGATAACTACTCATATTTATGGTCTTTGACATAAACTTGTGGTCATTTTGATTTATGTTGAAGCTGGGAAATTTTGGGTGTTAGGGTTTCAAAATGTTTAAAGAGGGGTTTTGTTCTTTTGACCAATACATGTGTATTTTGGGTCTTATAATAAGGTTACTGATGTTTATTGATGATATTTGAACCTTTGGGTCAATGTTGAGAAAAGGGGGAGAAAAGCCCAAATTTATTGTGATGAATTAATTTGTATAATTAATTTGGGAAAGTTGTGAAAATATGAAATTGAGTTGGAAATAATGAAATTGGGTAATTATGAGATTTAATGGTGAAGTTGGATTGATTAATCACTCACCTTTGAAATTGTAGATAATTTATTTGTTTGATAATTTATTATCTATTTAGAAATAACTGTTTTGGGATATTGGTGGAGGATAGTCGTGATTGTTGTAGACACTGCATGATGGGTGAATTAAAACTAATCAATTGAGTATGTCTGTAGACACCCCATTTTTGACCGTCCTCAAGACTTGGACGTCACCCTTTGAACACTCGTTCGTGTTCGTTTTGAGTTCTCGGAGGTCTCGGCTACGCGCCTTGCCTCAGGATCTCTCAACTCGGTTGTCTTGTGCTTGGTTGGACCAAACACTTGTTGGTTTTTGCTTTGGAAGGTAGAGAATGGCTTGTTGGCCATCCCCACGCCTCACCGGCCATGGCTTGAGGCCACCGGTCGTGTCTTCTTGCCACCGGCCATTGGTGATGGCCGGTCGGCACTTTGTGTGGTCGGCCGACCATTTATTTGGCCGATGGACTCTTTTTCTGGCCGGTACCACCTTTTTGCCATTTTCAGGCATTATGCATGCCAGCTGTGCCAGCTGGAGTGCACGGATTTGTCCTCCATACTGTATGGAGGAATTGCACCCTTTGTACCTTTTTGGTCCTAGCTTCCTCAAGAAACTTGGACCCTTTGCTCAAGCTTCTTGAGGAAGCTTGACCCTTTGTCTTAGCTTCCTTAAGAAGCTTGGACCTTTGGGTTAGCTTCCTTGAGAAGCTTGACCCCCTTGACCCTTTTGATTAACTTCCCTTAGAAGCTTCAAGCCTTCATCTTGCTCTATATAAGAGGACCTTCCTCTTCCTTTGAAGAGGTTCAGCAAAACCAGAGATAATACATATATATCTGATATATAAACCACTCTCTCTCTCTCTCTCTATATCCCTCTCTCTCTTCATTGGTGTGTGTTTGAGAGTTCAAAAGTGTGTTTTGTTCTTAATTTTGCACTAGGACACATAGTATTACACCATACTTCGGTTCTTGAGGTGTTGAGAGATTGTTCTTGGAGGTTTTGGGTTGGTTTTGATTAGAAAAAGGGGTTGGACTTGCTGTTCTTCAAGTGTTCTTCAAGGGTGAGTATAGTTGCTTTATATTCCCCATTCTTGCACTAGTTTTTAACCCATATTGCATACTGATTTAAGCTTTGTGTATAACTGAAAAAAGTCTTGTATTTGCATGCTTAAGATGTTTCATTAAGGTCTCTTTTGTGTTTGGGGTAGACCTCCTCCTCTTAGGCCTTGTTTGGCCCCTTTTGTGCCTTCTTCAGTTGAGCTTTGAATACTTTTGTGCATGCCTATGTGTTTGAGGCTTTGGGCTTCCATATCAGAGGTTTTTGGGGCTCATTTTTGCATGATAAAACTTTGTTTTCCATTGAAAAATCCATGCCATGTTTGCTTGGGGTAGGTGTTGAGTAATGCTTTCTTTGTGGCCATGAATGTCTTCTATCTCACACCCATTCCCTAGCATGTTTTGGC